CACGATACCATTAGTAGGGTGATCCTGATAATTTTGAACCTGATCTTAAGTAGTTGTTAAAAGGAGTTAGTTCTTGTAAACAGTACTTTAAAACATTAGACAAGTTTTTTTGGAAATGCATTAAAAAAAAACATTACATCAAATAAAGTTCTTGAGATAAAGGTGAGCATAGAATATTGTAGATTGGATGATGTAGGTTTTATAGTTGGAGTCACTAGTTAGTTACTGAGCTCACACTGCATCAGAAATTTAAACAGAACACAAACATACATAAAGTAACTTACAAGTGAGTAAACACTATGCTAGAGCAGACTTGGACAGGAGTGGCGTGCAATTGAGCGCTGTTACTGCAAACAATTTTTTTTTAACAACTTGACCAGGAGTGTTTAGATGTTCTAGAAATGATTTTAGAAATGTGCTGAAAAAAAATGCCAATCTAAAGTTAAACTCAGGAAGAAATTTAAAAAAATTACAAAAAAAGAAAATACCTGAGCACTAAAATAAAACTCAAACTTGAAGCAAAAATTACTTTTTGATAAGTTTTTAAGTGCGCTTGAAAGAAATTACTTTATTTCAAATGCAACTTATCTTTTGAAATCTTTTACTAAAATTACGCAAAACACTTTTAGATATCACTTATAATTATTGTTTAATGAATGAACAAATTTTATTTAAATTATTAAAAAGTGTTATAAATAGTATTTTTAAAGTGTATATACATTTATTTTTTTCTAAAAAGTTGTAAAAAACTGTTTGCAAAAATAACGCAGTCGTAAAATAGTAATTTTTAAGTTTAAAAAATATTAAAAAATTCTTTCTAAAAATAGAAAAATAATTAAATAAAGCAATTAAATCATTCTATAGCAACAGGAATATTTAATTTTTGATAAGTGATTTTTTACTACGTTATAAAGTAACTTCAAAAATTATTAGAAAGGTATGGAAAAATAGTTTTAAATGTTTCAATTTATCATAAAAAATACATGTCTACATAAAAAAAATTCAAAAACATTTTTTGTTAATTAAACAAAATTTATTTTAAACAATCATTATAACTAGCAGAAAGCTGTAAAAACAACCCATAATTTATAGTGGCTGTTTTCCACAATTTAAAGTTGCAAAACCTTAACTAATAACCTTTTAGAAAGACGCCTTCAAATTGAAAAAAATTAATCCATCTGTAAAATTAACATAAAAAGAATGAGGAGGTAAAATAGTTTACCATTTATAATTTAACATTTTGAGTAATTTACAACTGACATGAGTCTTTATTGATGAAACACAGTGTTAAATGAAAAAAATTTTTGATAAGTAATTTTTACTACGTTATAATTGCACTGTACTTTTAAGAACATTGAGCACTCTATTTTGTAGAATATATTTTAAAATTGTTTAAATATATATATATATATATATATATATATATATATATATATATATATATATATATATATATATATATATATATATATATATATATATATATATATATATATATGTTACACACATATCGTGAAATAAGGCATTTCAACTATGCAACTTTTTTGCTCATTTCGTGAAATGGATAGCGCTCTTGCGCAGATTGCAAAATGTTAAACTTTTTTTTTTTTTTAATACATACCCTTCGTAATAAATATTATTTATAATAAATATATGTTTTTTTAATTAATAGACTACCTGCCCAACCCAAACCCTCAGTCGATGTTGCAGCACTCCGTTGCAAGCCAGGCTATTTGTCAGTGGGTATAGCAGCTCTTCGTTGCTATTCAGGCTGCAAGTTAGTCGATGTAGCAGCACTCCGTTTGAGTCGCAAGTTCTTATTTAAGTTAATATTAATATTTACTAGACATGGTATAATTAAATATTTAAAAAAAACACTGTAAAAACAACGGAGCACTATCCATTTCACAGAATGAGCAAAAAATGGCACATTTTGTGAAATGCACAATTTCACAATCTGTGCGTCACATATATATATAATATATATATATATATATATATATATATATATATATATATATATATATATATATATATATATATATATATATATATATATATGTGACATGTATATATATATGTGATATATATGTATATATATATATATATTTATGTATATATAAATATATATATATATATATATATATATATATATATATATATATATATATATATATATATATATATATATATATATATATATATAATATTAATAGTATTGATTACAGGAAGTACACTTTTTCCAGCCTTAGCTTAAAAAACTAATCCCAAAATGCAGTACAACATGGAACAAGTTGCACTAGATTACATGTTACCAGCAGCAGGGTGATCATGAAGACCGTTCACCTAACCTAACACTGTTCTAACATTCTTGAAATTTTACCAATTCAAAACCTCAAAGTTTCTTATTGCTAAGAAATTTATATAGATTTTCCCAACTTTTTTTTTCTTTGACTATTTGTAGGTGATTTTTTTTTTTGGCATTTAGTTGCTATTTTTCATTCTATTCTTTTTTTGCTAATTATAATTTTTTTTGTTCTTTTCTTTACAACCTTTTTCATTTCTAATTTCAAAGTAATAGTTTGCAGTGTCATGGTTGTTGTTATGTAGCTTCTTGCAGTGTCATGGTTGTTGTTATGTAGCTTCTTGCAGTGTCATGGTTGTTGTTATGTAGCTTCTTGCAGTGTCATGGTTGTTGTTATGTAGCTTCTTGCAGTGTCATGGTTGTTGTTATGGTTGTTGTTATGTAGCTTCTTGCAGTGTCATTGTTGTTGTTATGTAGCTTCTTGCACTTTTCTCTCAATAACTTTTTTAACTTTTGATTGTACTTCTCAGATTCAGTCAAATCAGAGTAAAGTTTTGTAGGTTTTAACTTTCTTTAATTCCAAAGCATTTTGTATATATTTCGATTAGTTAAAATAAAAATATAAAGAGCTTTATATTGATTATTTTAATTTGATAAGATTTTTAACATTGAAATTTTACTTTTGTATGATTAACAAAATATTTTGTGTCAATCATGTAGTGCTACCACCCTAAATAACAGTGGATTATCTTCTGTCAGTGAATTAAATATTGTTGTAATTATTAATTTAGCTTATAAACTAATTACCCAGGTACTAAAAAGTTTCAGTAAGTGTTTTTTTCTCTAGTTAAATAAAAATTTGATAGTTAATTTATAAAAGTTTGATAGTTTTTATCAAGATTATTGACTGGGTTATTTTTCCGGTTATTTTTATCATTCTAAAATTCTTTTTTTTTTATATCCACAAATCTAAACATACTCAGTTTTTTTTCTTTGGTCTAGTTAAATTATTTTTTATGCCACTATGCTTTGCAATCAAATACAATGTTTTTTCTAAAACGGGTGTGTGAGTCATGTATAAAGTTTGAATAATTGAATCATGTTAGTTTAGTTTAAGTATAGATTGATTGTTATAATGAATAATACTTCACTTTACGTCTTGTTTGCTTATCTTTTTCTGCTGTGCTTTAAAATAGTTTTTGCAAAACTGAAGTCTTAATTGTATATAAAGTTTGATTGAGCAAATTGAGTTTCTGAATCATATGAACTTTATTGTCTACTAAAGTTTTATTCCTTAATCATTTTTGTTTTTGTTATAGATAATTTGTTTTAAAATGGTAATTTTATATTTTTTTATAATTTTAAAAGATGAATTATTATATTTATTTTTATTTAATTCATTATTTATTGACTATTGTTTTTTATACATATATATTTTTAAATAATTTTACAACCCTCTCCCAACCTTGTAACTCCAAAACACAAACTAGTAAATACTACTGTCTTGTTCTTACAGAAAAAGGCAACTGCACAACTATTTAAGTTAGGTACTAACTAAGTTGTGATGGCCAATCCTATACTTTTTACTTTTTTTTTTTTTTTAATTTTATTTCACCTCCTCAAGGCCGAGAAGGCCACTACAGACGAGGAGGCTACTTATTTGTGGTTATAGCCCTCTCTCAACTCTATAACTCCGAAACACGAACCTTGATGAACAAGGCCGCTGCGCGGAGAAACGAGTTGAGCGCGGTACTACCAGGGACGTGGTGGGGATCGAACTTGGAACCACTCGTTTATCAAGCGAGCGCTCTACCACTACACCACTACCGCATACCACAAACTTATGAGTTTATCACATTAAAATCCTATAGTATTATTGTTGTTAGCATATGTTCTAGTTTTTTAAAAATATCCAAAGAGAAATAATTGAATTTAAGAGAAATAATAAATTTATATAAAAGAAATAATAAATTTAAATAATTTTTACTATAAATTTCTTTATTTTAAAACTACTGTTTTATAACTCACTTTTTAAAGGAGTTTTCGGAGATTCTTCTTTAAATAGCTATCTATTTCTTGAGATTCTCCTTTATATAGCTATCTATTTCTTGAGATTCTCCTTTAAATAGCTATCTATTTCTTGAGATTCTCCTTTAAATAGCTATCTATTTCTTGAGATTCTCCTTTAAATAGCTATCTATTTCTTGAGATTCTCCTTTATATAGCTATCTATTTCTTGAGATTCTCCTTTAAATAGCTATCTATTTCTTGAGATTCTCCTTTAAATAGCTATCTATTTCTTGAGATTCTCCTTTAAATAGGTATCTATTTCTTGAGATTCTCCTTTATATAGCTATCTATTTCTTGAGATTCTCCTTTAAATAGCTATCTATTTCTTGAGATTTTTCTTTGAAAAGCCAACTGTTTCTCTAGATTTCTATTGATATGAATTTTAGTTTTAAAAATGCATGAAAAGTTTTGAAAAACAACACAACGTAGAATGGAAATTCCAAAACATGGAAGTACATAAACCTTTTTTGTCAAATTATTAAAATCAGTTTTGAGGAATATCAAAATCAGTTTTTTTTCTTGATTTAAAAATAAACAAATATTTAAAATGTAACCTAAGTTTACACCTATTAAACATATATTACATATGTTTATTTTATTTTTATGTTGTTGGACCATTTTTTAGAATGATGATACATTAATGGCTGCTAAAGAAAGAGCAAAGCAAGTACATTCAATTCAAATTAAAAATAAAGCTTACCATTTATTAAACAGAATGGATGAAATTGGAATGCAAGCATTGTTGGAAGATGACTATAATGATGGTAGTAGTTTTGAAGGAAGACCTAAAGATCACATTACAGCATCCGATCTTATTGATGTCTTAAATGAAAAGTAATATTTTAATATTTCATTTTGGTTTAAATATGTTCAAACTAGGTTTTTATAGCTTATGTTGCAAAATTAATATTAAACTGATGGTTGCCAAGGTAACATAATATAAGAATCAAGACATTCTCAAAAAACTGAGAGGTACTAAATAAAATCTCTTACAATTTGTCTATTGCCTCTACAATTTAAGATTTTTTATGCAGTTATTTAAACAGGGATGTTATGTCTAAAATAAATTAACAGTAATATCAAATTTATAATCATTAAAAATAAGTCACTCACAAAAGTGACTTTAGTTTGATTTGATTGCAATATTTTTTTTTTCGTACCTGGCAGCCAAGAAATTTTCTTTGTTAGTCTAGTTTTCACAACATTGTTTAAGTATTAAATACTGTCATTGAGTTAAAGCTACATTACCATAACCAAATTTGCTGTGATTTGCTTCTGTGGTATATTAGTAACTTATTTTTTACTAATTCTAAAAATACCTGGTATGACAGTTCAACTTTAAAAATCTTAAAAAACTTAGCTGAAAAATTTGTTTAATAATTATATTAATTACAATAAATTGTAATAACATTTAATGAATTTCCTCAAATACTTAATATTAATTTTTTTTTTAATTATAATTTATTTTTTATTGTTATTTGAATAACTAGCATTAACATTATTTTGTGTTAATTACAACAAAAAACTCTGCATAAATATCAATTATTCTTTAACAATACTTGATAATCATAATTAAATAAAAATTTGTATTTTTTTATAATTATGATAAATCATGATTAAGTAAAAACTTACATTTTTTTCAGTTCATTAGTGAAACAAATGTTCACAAATAAAATTTTTTATATTCTGAATGTTAGGCTGTATATATATTATTATAGGTTTTATAAATGTATTAGGTATTTAAACCTGAAATGTTTGATTGTTGATTTGCAAGAATAAATTGAATGTGAAAATTAAATTGAATGCTTTTCTACAAAGTTTACAAATAAACATCCTTTAAAACTATTTATAATGCAAAAACAATTTAAAACCCAGTCAGACACAAATATTTATAATGCAATCCAACACAGTTATTTATAATGCAAAACAATACAAATATATAGAATGTAGCACAGCAAAAAGGTAGTAGAAGTAGCAGTAGTAGTAGTAGCAGTAGTAATAGTAGCAGTAGTAGTAGAAGTAGTAGCAGTAGTAGTAGTAGTAGTAGTAGTAGTAGTAGTAGTAGTAGTAGTAGTAGTAGTAGTAGTAGTAGTAGTAGTAGTAGTAGTAGTAGTAGTAATACCTACTAGTTGTAGTACTACTGGTAGTATTAGTAGTAGTAACTACTACTACCAGTAGTATTAGTACTACTACTACTACTAGCAGTAGTATTAGTTTCCCTTAGAGCGTGTTTTACACAGAACCCTTGACTGCTATTGCAACCGAAGTAATGGTGAGAAAAAGTCGTAACACTTTTTTTTTTAAGAAAATGTAAACAAAAGTGTATGCAAATTTCTAAAAAGCAAATATCTTTAAATTATGTAACATTAAAACATTAAAACATATTTCAAGTTTTACAGTTTTATATTCACTTCAAAATTGCATTGTGGCAACATCTCCTTAATTTTTTATCTATAGCATTCATTTCTATATTATAAAATCTTTTTTTTTGTTGAATAGTTTTATTTTTTTTGTCCAACAACATACCTGAGTGGTTACCTCGCAGAGTTTCTGAAGCAAAGCACTGTGTTTGAAATGCTACCACTTAAACCTTTTTTTTTAAATGTTTTTTGACTTTTCAAAATTACAAAATAAAACACTTTTGAAATTTTATAGATATTATATACATAAAATATGTAAAGATATACGCCATAACAAACAAAAGGGAGAGAATTTTTAAAAAAAGCTTAATATTTCTGAAAACATCAAAGCAAAGTTAAAAAAATTTAAGAATTAATTGCACAAGGAGAAGACTTCCCATTGTGCAATGAACCCCTTCAAAATGACACTGGTAATAGCGCTCTAAACTTTTAAATTTGGTGCGCTGAAGCTGTGCAAACATGAAGCAATACAGCTAAAGTACAGTTTAGTACAGCTAAAGTGCATGAAGATATGCAAAAAGCACAAAGTTGAAGATATGCATTTAGAAGAAAAGTGAGCCATTTTATAAATCTCACAGCGTGTAAAATAATGGCCGGTCAACGGTCAATGACCGCCCAAAATGAGTAAAATTGCTATTTTGACCTCCAGAAATAAATTCTTGTGGGTCATGGTTGACCGGTTACAAGTTTTGAAAAACAGTATTTGAAAAATAATCAGAATATTATTTGAAAAAAGCATGTACTAAATTATCATATAATCATTAAAGTTTTGAAAAAGTGCTCACATTAGGCTTGATGTTTGCAATAAGTTCTTAAACTCCTTTCGCTAACAAATATAACATAAAACGTGACATCTAATAATTCTTTTCTTCACTTATTTAAATTACTTTCATTTTATTGGTGGTGAAAATCATTTTTTCATAAATGATAAAGTTCTTATTTTATTATTAATTTAATAAAGTATATAATAATAATTGTATGTAATATATTAATTTTATAATAATATAATAATAATAATAATTGCATTAAACTCAAAGTCTTTTAACTTTTTATTTGTTTACTCATAAGTTTTTGCAGCGAACTGAATAAATGAGGAGCTTCAAATTTTAAACTATGCAGTAGAGTGTTGAGATCACAAAAGGAACTCATTAGATCAAGGAATTAATTTCAATGTTAATTTTGAGTACAAAATCTTTGCGCGAATTAGTAAAATTATTATTCACTAATTTTATTAACTCTTTTTAAATCAACATTAGCAGTTTTTAAAATGATTTTAATGAACAAAATGTGCAATCATTTTTTTTCTTTAAGGTTGTTAACTTTAAATATTAAAGTTCTTAATTAATTATATGAAATTGTGGTATGTAACTAAGAACATTTTCACTTCTAAAGTAATTTTTTTTCATTCAATCTTTTTATTTATTTTCTCCTAGCTTTTCCTGCCATTAGTTACAAATGAATTATTTTAAAATAAATTTAAAATTATCGTTATGCGTTTGCACTTTTTTATTTCTACTACTGAATTTTAAAAGAATTATCAAACGTCAACCTATTATTATGGAGGCTAATCAACTCATTAAAAAGAGACAAACAACGATTTCATTTTTGACAGTACCAGAATCAAAGTTAAAACCACCAGTTAAAAAAAAAAAAGTCTACTGTAGAAATTTACAGCTAACGACAGCTCAAAAATGGATAAGTACTACTCTTGCAAAATATAATGCGAATGAATGGTTAGAGATAATGGAAATTATGTTACAGCATTAAAATGTACTGTATGTCATCAGTATGCTAAACAAATTGATGCTTATAAAGGATTTATAAGTATCAATTTGTATTAATTGTTTTATCAAAGCAACTTGCTGAACTTTTAAAACTGTCCTTTGTTCAATTTCAATGAAAACTTTATTTTTTGCCTTGCCAAAAGAATAAATATTTTAAAATTGTCAACAAGCAAAGAATAACAAAACTATTGTTTTGTTATTCTTTGCTTGTTGAAAATTTTAAAATCATTAATTTTTGATGATTTATTCAAAAAGTTATTCGTTTATAATGATGCTCAATATTAAAAACATTTTGTTCACAAAAAAAAGTAAAAATTTCAATCCTTCTGACAATTTAGTATTCCCGAAATTTAAAAATGAATGAACTTGATCTTTAGCTTGCTTTTTTATTTGGCGTTAGTAAAATGAAAACTATTTCAGAAAGTTTTGTTTCTCTTCATATTCATCTCGACTCAAATAAAAATAACAATGAAAATAAAGTAGAAAATTTTTATAAAATATTTTAGTTATTTTTAAACTGTAATGTCTTAAATTAAAAAAAAAATCTATAGTAAATGTAACTTATTTAATCTACACAATATTTTTATTATAAATAGTTTTTTTTAATTCAATTTTTAAAAAAAGGCGCCTTATAGCAAAATTGAATATTATTAGTAAAACTGTTCATTTAACTTTTAGTAAAAGTTAAATAAACAGAATTGGTAATATTTAAATCGAAATTAAAATTAAAATAATAATAACTAAGCTTAAGTGTAGTTACTATCATCAAGAAAAAAAAAATGTTTAATAAGCGCTTATTTGCTTAAACTATTATTTTTTATATTTTTTTTTATAACTTCATATGTTTAAATGTCTTTACATGTTATATTTACAATTTAATCTGTTAATTATAATATAATCTATGTATATATAATATAATTTAATCTGTTAATTAGTGACAAACATATTTAGTTTAATAGTGGCGTTAGTAAGTGACGCCACTAATTAAATGAATTGGATGTTATCCAATTTATCAAACTTCCTTTAGAAAAATTAATTAGTTTTTCAAACTTTCTTTAAAAAAATTAATTAGTTTATAAAACTTTTTAAGAAACAAAATAAAAATCTGCATGCTTAATTTTAAACTATTAACATTGGCGTGTAATTTTAATGTTAGTTATTTGCAAGTTTAAAAAAGGAATACTAATTCATTAGTTATTCAATATTTAGTTATTTTTGTATTTATAAAGTTCAAAAGAACTATTACGAAGATTAAAATGAAAACAAAGAAAATAATAAAAATGTTGATAATCCAAAAAAAACAGTTGATTTTCAATTCCAAGCGTTAGCTGGTTAAATTGACCACTCACATTTGATTTCTTATTTTACATGCTGATCTCTTATAAGCTCTACGTGTGTGGATAAAATTTCTGTAATTGAAAAGTTGTTATTCTATTGTTGTATCAGGCCTAGTTTTTAACAATAAAAGTTGCTTATTTAAATATAATTTTTTAGATACCAGGTTCTTCGTGATAAACTTTTACTGGAAATGTTACAGGATCACTTTGGTATGAGCATGTGGCAAGCTTTATCTGAGTTTGAGCAACAAGAAAAACTTTATCAGTTAAAAATTAAAGAGGAAAAACTTCGGAAAGAATCTCATTTAGAAGAAATGGCTAAACATTTACCTGGTTCAGGTATAGGGACAAGTTACAATTTGTTTACTCTCATGGGTGAAAGTGCACCTGAAATGGAAATTCGAATACAAGAACAAGAAGAAATAGCACTAAAAGATGGTTTGTTTTTTTAAAGTTAAATAATTTTCTTTTTCTTAAGTCACATTAATGATTTTATAATATTTATAGCTTTTTCTAAATAAAGGCTAAAGTTAAATTTAAAGTTTTAAAAGTTATATTTGGAAACAATGCAAGAAAAATGATTTCCAATTCTTGGTACCTGAGATGAGTTGGTACAAAAATTCTTGAAAAATTCTGAGATGAGGTACAAAAAACTGATACTCAAATATGCAAACTATGACATGCATAGTTTGCATATTTGAATAAAAAAAAAAAATTTTAATTTTTTTTACTTTAACTAATAATGAAATCCACCACAATGACAACCATGATGCATCTTAACTCAACCACAATAACAACCTTTTTTCATCTTAAAGTTTATGTTGTTTTACTGTTACCTTTATGTTTTTATTGTTATCTTTATGTGTTGCATACTGCCACATATATGTTGATAAAGTACATAAGGCTTGTATTGGTTTTGTTTTTTTAGGTCGTAGCTATGAGGACGTAGAGAGTGACTTTATTAAAAAACTTGCTATCAAGGATAAAGAAAGATCTTCAAGTGAATTAATTTTAATTGCAATAAATAATCGCTATGAGCTTGAAAAAGATTACATATTAAGAAAACTTCAAGGACTTGGTGGGTACTCACCCATGGATGCCAAAGAGCGAGAAAATCAATTTTTTAGTTATATGATATCAAAGATACGAGGCATTCAAGCAAAAAGTTTATATTCTTGTGCTATTTCTATAGGATTATCAGAGAGAATTGATTTAAAACAGTACAAGTAAGTAACTTTTTCAGTTCAAAGTTTTAAAATTTTTTTAAACAAAATAAGTTTTGAAAAGTTTTAAAAACAACAAAACATCAAAGAGAAAAATATTATTTAAGTATTTTTTCTTTTACATTATACTAAGTGTTTATTTTGATGTTTTTTTTTTAAATAATTAAACAGTATAAAAATTTTATTTAATAATTAAACAGTATAAAAAAAAACCATCAAAATCAACTATGAATAATTGTTTAAAAATTTAATTTTAAATTTGGATTAACTATGAAACATATGGTCAATGAGTCCAACATTAATGCTTCCACGCTTATAAAACTTTTTTAATTTTATTACTTAAAGATTTTTACTTGGATTTTTTGAAAAATTTTTAGAAAAAACATTCTTCATATAAAAACATATTTTTGAAAAAATATTTTTTATATAAAAACATATTTTTGAAAAAACATTAATTATATAGTGCGGCTGTGGCACAGTGGTTAGAGCGCTTGCTTTATAAGCAGGAGATCCAGGTTCAAAATGAGCTTTGGACATATTTCGCGTCACAGTAAGGAAGGAGGCGTGAACTTTCTGGTTAAATGCACTTCCACAGTGCTTTGTGACAAGACAGTAAGGACTTCTTGGGGCACCTAAAATTACAAATAAAAAAAAAATAAAATTAAAAATAATATATATATAAAAACATATTTTTGAAAAATATTTATATATTTTTATAAAAACATATTTTTGAAAAAACATTCTTTATATAAAAACATATTTTTGAAAAAATAATAATTATATAAAAACATATTTTTGAAAAAACATTCTTTATATAAAAACCTATTTTTGAAAAAAAATGAATTATAATCATTCTTTGAAAGTTTGCATGTAAATATTAACATCATAAAGTAATCAAGTACTTCAAACATAAGATTACTGTATGATATTAATATTTACATTATGATGATTTCCATTAATGTTGAACATAATGACTGTGATTACTAAAATACTTTTGTATAATTATGCCAACAACATAAAGTAATAAAAATTTACTAACATTATAAAATAATTTGATTTATATATAAGTAAAAGATAATTTGGTATTAACAACATAAAGTATGTTATAAATAATATAAACTATTTTTATATAGTCTTTTGACTGACAAAGTAAAGCACAATCAATTGAGTGTTAGCAGGGTAAAGGCATTTCGTCAGCGTTATATTTCTGATGAATTTAATATTCCACCCAAACTTTTTTTGCTCAAATCCAAACTTGGTCGTGTTGATCTTGAAATGCAGTTGCTACAAGAGGTCGAGAGAATGTTTGCACTTGAACGAGAAGCATTATTAGATTTTATGTTCTCAAGGGAATATTTACATTTCAGAATCTCAGCTAAAAGACTTACCAGAGGTTGCTCAGTTTTTATTTTTATTTTTATTTTTTTGTTATTTTGTTGGTAATTTGGTAAAAATTTTTTTTTATATATATATGAGACTATTTCTTTTGTTAAATGAAAAAAATATTTTTAGCAATCTATGTTATTAAATGCGTACTCAATTTTCAGTATGAGTTCACTGTTGAAACTGCCATAAACTTTTCCTTTATGAAAAAGGCTTGCATAGTTTTTTAAATTTAGATGATTAAAATGAGTTTTTGTCTGGAAAACGAGTCACAAAGTTTTTATGACTCATTTTCCAGACAAATTACTTGAGAGTTTTGATGGTCTTTTTTAATAATTTGATGTTTTTTATTATCTTTTCTTAAATTTTTGTTTCTTTTTGTCTTGTCTTTCAAACTACTTCTAGCTTGGCTCAGTTTCTCTATCTTTGCATTTAGATTAATTTTTTTTGTGATTTTATTTTTAATGTTCCTCGAGTTGTTATTTTGTGTCTGCAATTTCAATTTCAATTTCAATTCTTAGTAACTTATTTCAACAGTTCTTTTAATTCTTAGTAACTTATTTCAACAATTCTTTCGATACTTAGTAAACTTTTTAATAAGTGTTTAAATGAATCTTGTTTTCCAATCTATTGAAAAATGGCATCTGTGATTTCAATTTTGAAAAACTTTGGAGAAAACCTTTCTAACTAACTAAAAAAACTTGACCTTTCTAACTAACCCCCCAACTAGCGTTTTCTCTATTATTAGAAAGTTTTTACAATCAAATTTAAATATAAATCAAATATAAGTGGGGGAAGGGAGCACCATTACAAATTTGCCATCTAAAAAAAAAAAGTTCTCATTTTTGAAATTTGCTGACTGCCTAGTCGACATTTGCCAACTGACTGTCTAAATTTGCTGACTGATTTGCCTAAAGGGTCTACAGTTGCTGACTGTCTAAAAGGGTCAAGTTTGCCGACTAAATAAACACAAAAATCATTGATGAAGGAGGGGGGTGTCACACACTTCCCTTCCCACCTCCCACACATCCATATCACACTTGCTTTATATATATATATATATATATATATATATATATATATATTATATATATATATATATATATATATATATATATATATATATATATATATATATATATATATATATATATATATATATATATATATATATATATATATATATATATATATATATATATATATATATTTGAGTTTAATACCTTACAATCTGCTGTATTTTGACCTGCTAACTATTGTAACAGATAAATGCATCAAATAAAGGCAGCAAGCCAAGTGCTATTGCTCTTGTAATATCAAAAGTTTTTGATAAAGTTTGACATAAGCTTGCTTCACCTGGTAAATTTGTTAAAAGATATTAAGATTCTTTTAGTACTAAAATCATCTTTGAAGGGCAACACTCTCACTAATTTCGAGTAACTATTGGGGTTGAATTAGCCTTTGAATTTTAATTCACAGTCTTAACATTTTCAAACCTGATATAAAAAAGTATTTGAATTTTTAACTACGCAAGCACACTTTTTATTATACAATCAAATATAAGTGGGTCAAAAGCCAAGGGGTACAAGTGACATTTTCATAGTTTTCAGAGTTTTCAAGTATTTTTGTTAAATATACTCAGCTGTTGTTATGTTTTTCCAGTAGAAAGCAACACAGGGCAGAGATTCACTTGTATCCCTTGGCCACCAACAATTTTGTTTGCTTCTTCTATCAAATTCTATACTTAACTTAATTTTGGTAAAATTGTCACTTGTACCCTTTGGCTTCTGACCCACTCATATATTTTGGGTGGATGGACTTGCTACAAAATATTTGTTAGCTCCATTTTCAAGTTTTTTATTAAACCTATTTTTCATGTGTTGACATGTGTTTTGTGCAAACGTTTGCTTTTAAAACAATAAATCCAAAATAATGGTCTTTTACAAAAAACATTTAATTTTTTTTTTTCAATTTTCATCAATAATGATGAGGCATTTACTTTTCTAGTATATATAAACCACTAACATTGTTCAAACCTAAAATGAAGAAATCACAAAACTGGTGTAATTAATAATTTAAAAATAATATTCTACCAAACTTTTCTAAAAAAATGATTTTCTATTTATTAACGGTTGAACAACTTTGTTGTTTACCATTTTCATTTTTACTTTTACCAGTAGTTTAACTAATTCCTAGGCCTCTGTTTCAAATAACTAACTAGTTCCTAAGCTGCTAAGCCTCTTTAAACTTCCCTATCTTAATCAATTTTTAAATATCTTTTGATATCATCTTAAATAAATTCTTAATTATTGTTGAAAAAACATTTATTTTAGACTTTAGCTAAATTTACCTAAAAGTCTTAAATCCTTTGTTCTGTACGAATTTGCCTCAGCTGAATGCTAGGCATATTTATGAAACTACAAGACATTATACAACCTAGATTCATTATCAACCAATTTTTGATAACGCAATAAAGTAATATTGTTAACTTTTTTTTAATAAATCTGTGATTTAGAAATACTGGAGACATTAATCAATTAAAATTTTATATTAACTTTGTTTTTCATAATTTAAATAGAGGAAAAGATTTCTCAGTTAAAACTGTTGTATTCTGTTTGGGAAAATAATTCTTCTAAAAGTGAATCTGAAAAACCTATTCTTAACAGAAAATGTCTGCAGGAAGCTGTTGCTTTGAAGTTTGAATTACTTTTTGGTGACATGGCAAATAGTAATGATATGAGTGTAGCTTCACATTTACTTACTTGTTTGCAGTTGCGCCAAGATGAAGAATGCCAAAAATTTATCAATGTTGGTTGTTTAGTAAGTCATTTTTTCTTATTCAAAACCACAAAACTGCACTAACGCAAACTGTGTCAAAATTTGGGTCACATTTAGATTTGCACCTAAAATGAGTTAAAAACACATATATTTATCAGCTCTTTTAATTAGGGTCGCCATAAGGGAATGCCAACCTAAAAGTATCGAAAGTTGGCATTTATTTGCTGACCTTTTTCTATGTTGTTATGGTGAAACCTTTGTGCTAAATAAATATTTTTATAAATACATTATGTATATATAAATATTTATATTTGTTTACCCATATATTATATTTACATTATATACACTTTCCATAATTATTATTATCCATAACTTATCAAATTTTTACTATTTAGAGAGAAAAATTACAATTAAAATTGCCTGAAATTATACTATTTTTTAAATTAACATAAAAATGCAATAAATCAAATTAATTTTTTTTACAATTTACTATCATCAATACAATCACCCTTAGTTGCAACTTTAGATGCAACTAAGGGTATACACCTTTTCACATATTCTTGACATTATGCATAAAGTTTTTTGGCATAATGGATAACTTTTCCAATGTCAAAATCAATTTATGCAACTCACCAATACATTTTTTCAGCATATATATGTATATATATATATATACATATATATATATATATACATATATATACACGCAGATATATATACAGGGCTGTGGAGTCAGAGTTGGAGTTGCGGAGTTGCGACAACTTTACCTGAGTCGGAGTCACTAAAAAATATAGCGACTTCAACTCCGATAGTAAAATTTCTTGGTATTGCATGTACAAAACATTCAATTAACCTTATGTTCATGTTAAACCTCAAAGAATGTTTCATAAATTTTGTTAAATTTTAAAAAAGTTTCATAAATTAAACTTCGGCAGTTTTCAAAAAAAAAATTTCAACAATCGGGCAATATTTTTTAAAGAATTCAAAGAATTTTTTAAAAATTTTGCTTTGGAGTTGGAGTAGGAGTCGGAGTTGGAGTCGGAGTCGGAGTTGTACTCAAAAAATTCCAACAACTGGAGTTGGAGTCAGAGTTGTACTCAAAAAATTTTAACAACTGGAGTCGGAGTTGGAGTCTTTTTTACTAGTCGGAGTTGGAGACTTTTTTGATGTAAATAAGAGGACTCAGTGAGAGGATTGCCATTCTTTAAAATATATCGAAAGTACTGCAATAGTTTTTTTGCAGTAAATGACTGAGTTTTGTTGGAGTTAAAATTTAAAAGCCTCTTTGAGCCTCAATCTGTTACAGAATTGAGATCTGATTCAAGATTTAATAGAATTGAGTACTGTAGCTTGAATTGAATACTGGTAGCTGTAATTGAATACTGGCAGCAAGTTATTTGACTCAAGATGGATGTGAGAAATTTGTTTATCAAAGACTTTGCTAATCACAGAAAGAAGACTGATTGGGCGATAGTTGGATGGGTTAGAATGTCACCAGAGTTTTTAAAAATTAAAACAACAGATGCCATTTTCCAGCAGGCTGGAAAACAAGATTCAGTCAAGCACTTATTAAATAGTTTAGAGAGAATTGTAGAGGGTTCTAAAAAATAGTTTTGTTAGACTATGACCAGAATGTTGTCTGGACCATAAGCCGTAGAAGAGTTGAAATATGACTTTAGCAAATATGACATGAATTATTTTTTGAATTACTTTTGAATTTTTTAAATTTATTTTATTTTGAATAATTTTTTGAATTTAAATATGACTTTAGCAACAGAAGTGAAAACAGCGAGAATTTTAAAGAGATCATTGCATGGTCACACCTAAAAGAGAAAAAGGAGAATCTGTACACAAGGATCAAAGACCATAAATCATGGATTGAAGGTAAATAGTTAGGGTTATCAGGAAATAAAGTGACAAAGTTTTCTTAACTTAGTAAGAGATTGAAAAATGCAGGAGTTATAGGCTTTAATTCCAGCATGGTCATTGGCATTAGAGCTAACCCATTCAGTGTGATGAGCATCAAAGAAAGAGGTGTAAAGTAAGAGAACATGATCAATTTGATCAGAAATTATATCTAAAAGAGTACAGTCTTGGAAAGGAGAATGATAAAGAAAAAAGAGAAAAGTGATAGAATGAAAAAGTGCTAAGTAGAAGCACATAAAAGATTGGTCAAAGGATTCCAACCTAATTTCTTGAGAAATAGATAAGTTAATGTTTAGGTAAACCTCCAAGACAAGCATGTGACTATTGGAATCTTTGTGAATCAAAGGATAGTACCCATCAACACTGAAATCAGAAGAAGTAGCAGAATTTATGTTAGCCTTACTAATAAAAAAAAAACAAGAAGAGTGGCATAGTCACTATAAAGGAGGCAAAGCAAATACCTATAAGAAGAGTTATGGAGATCCATCATTCATCATCCTAGGCTGGAAACATTGTAAAACAGGTTTACCTCTATGCCAGTCTAATAGATGAAGAAGGGGCTTGGTCAGTAGAATTATTCTATATATGTATATATATATATATATATATATATATATATATATATATATATATATATATATATATATTATATATATATATATATATATATGTATATATATATATATATATGTATATATATATCCTTATATCGTAGTCAAAAGAGATTTTTAATTTAAGAATCAACTATCTTAAAGCCTGCTGCTACAAGCGAGTGTTGCTACATCGACTATCTTATAGCCTGACTCACAACTGCTACATCAACTGACAAATAGCCTGACTCGTAAGAGAGTGCTGCTAAATAATAACTTTTTATTTATATTGCTTAATTATATAAGGTTTTTTTTTATAAGTAAAAATAAAAAAAGAGGAAATTAAAAAAATATTAAATTTAATTTTTAAAGCGACGACTTAATTTAGCGAAAGACTCTTAAATAAATTTTGTATTAGAATCATTAAAGTTTTTGTCAAGAAGAAAAACAAAATGACAAACTTTTTTGAAAGCTGTTTGAATTACTCGTAGTGTAGTTAAGGAGAGATTCGAAGAAAAAATATAGCTATTGTTTTCAAAAATGCTGTTTTATTCGGTGTGCATTTTGGTTGCTTTATTTCTTTTTAAATCACGAAACTCATTGTTTTGTTTTGTTTACAAATATTTAGTGATTTTATTATCTACGAGTTTGAAGTTATAGCTTAATACTATGGGGCAGAAGTTAAATAAAAGCTAAAACGTTTTTGTTTAGTAATTTATTCAAACGATTTTAAAGTGCTTATGGTAGTAAATTGCTATGAGTGAAAACTAATGTGAAAACTTTGATTTTAATGTTTTTACCGTTTATGGAAAGATAAAATAAGAGGTTTTTAGTCAATTGTTGAATATTTTAATGATGTAAACAAAAAGTCTTTTACTTTTGAATAAAAGAGACATTTTTGGAATGCAAATACTTTACACATTTGTTTCAGCTGTTTTTATAACACTGCCCCGTCTTGTTTAATGTATTTTAGTGGTAGTTTTGGTTTGCTTGATGCTTTGGTTAAATTAAGATTTATAAAAAAATAATAAATTTTATAAGAAAAGCTTAAATTCTACTTTTTTTAAATGTTTAACTGTAATAGTTAAAAATAAGCGTTAAAAATATTTATATAAGTTTCAAAATGTAAATTTTTGTTTTTAAGAAATGCAAATCGTTCGAATCTCTCCCTAACTACGCTGAGTAAATAACATTGATCGTTACTTATGTTTTTGGAATTATTAAAACGCGTTTAAATAAAGTAACAAATCACTGCTAATGATTTTTTATAAAAACATTAATGAATAATATATATATATATATATATATATATATATATATATATATATATATATATATATATATATATATATATATATATATATATATATATATGTATATATATATATATATATATATATATATATATATATATATATATATATATATATATATATATATATATATTTAAATTTATATTTATATAAGTATTTATTTCTTTATTATAAATGTTTTTAAATGAAAAAAAAATATTTTTTTATTTTTTTAAATTTAATTATTTTTACTTTTCTGCGAAGATTTGTTAAAAATCCTTTTTTTTAAACTTTTAAATGATTGCATTTTTTAAACTATTGTCAATTTTTTTATTAAAAAATTGACAATTGTTTAATAAATAAAAACATTAGTAAAGATAAACGATTCAGAGTTATTTATTTCAAATATAAGATAATCTTATCGTTATAGTATATATTTATTTTAGTTAAGTTTCAATTTTATTTTTGCTATTTTAGTTTTTGTCAAGTTATTTTTATTTTGTTTTTCGCTATTTTATTTTACGAAGATTTGATTGTTTCTTTAACGATAAGTTTTTTTTAAGTTTCAAACTTAATAGTTTAGTTAAGATGATTTTTTTAGCGTTTTTTTAAAACTTATGTATATTAAAACATATTAGCAGCTGCGGTCGAGTTAAGTAAAATTAAAAAGTTGCATAGTCATATTATGACATGAAATCACACGCCTTCCTGGCCAAACCTGATATATATATATCAGGTTTACACAAGTGTACACACATATACGTATATAAATTCTTAAAAACACTTTTGTAATGTGCAAGTGGTAAACCAATGGTATCAAATCAAAATCAAATCAAATAATTTTCGAAATAAGTTATAACATTTTAAGGAAATTTACAATAGTATAAGTACTAATATAAAATAAATACCTGAATAAAACACAACGTTATAGACAACGTGATGAAAATAGTAATAATAACTGATATCAGTAATACTAATTATAATAATAATATTTAAAGTAATAAGAATAATAAAAGCAATAACAACAACAACAACAATAGTAATAATAATAATAATAATAATAATAATAATAATAATAATAATAATAATAATAATAATAATAATAATAATAATAATAATATAGTAACAACAGTGATAACAATAATAATAGAAAAAGAATTTCATAAATAAAGATAATAGCAGCAGCAACAAAATTTTCTTTAAGAAAACAAGTTTAAAGAATTATACAACGAGCTATGTTTATATGGTTTTTAAGTGTTAAATTAGCTGTGAATTATTATGTATGATGTTATTACATAACCCTCTCTCATTCCTTTAAGCATAAACTTTGAATAAAAAATAATTTTGTTATTATTATTATTATTGTTTTTTTTTATATAAATAAAATATTAATTTAATAAAATTTCTTTTAGGGAATAGAAAGCCTAACTTCATATTGGAAAGCATATACACAATCTATTATAGAAGAAAATTTCAAATGTATTGCTAGCATTGTTTTTGGTATTGCAGATGAACTTGCTGATGATGAAAAAGAGATTATTAAAGGTTTTTATATAAAATAATTTTTTTTAATAACAATAACACTAATAGTAAAATAATAATAATAATTCTTACCATTATCATTTTTTAATATTTATCGCATTGCTACATAGCAACGACAATATTTATCACATTGCTACATAGCAATGACAAATTGAGGATTGTGAATAATATTTTCCTGTAAAACAAAATAATTTTTTTTTAGTTCTGGAGAAGAAATATGATGTATTAAGAGATAAATTTATGATGGAAGCTTTAATGAATCAATTTGGTAAAGCAGAGTGGGATAAGCTTTCTGAACAAGAGAGACAAAATGAACTTTTTAAGCTTAAGTTACTAGAAAAAAAATTAAAAAGAGAAGGAAAGTATGATGAACTATCCAAACTGTTAGATGATTCATCACATCACTCTGAAACACTTAATGTATGAGTTGTATATTAATATTATTTCATGTTAATATTATTTCACATATAACAAATATATGGTAACACTTTAACCTCTGTATCATTCTCTCCACATGGATTCTTTCATTTGCAATTTGCTGACTTATAACTGTTTCCTTAATAGTAAACTGTTTTTTACCATTTAAAAATGATGGTAAAACTAGATTAACACCAAGTGACCTGAGGTATTCTGCTGTTGTAAAGCCATGGTCACTCATTACACTTTCACCTGGATTCCATAATGCTTGACTTGAAAATCCACTTTCAAAACAATTTCTTTGTCAGAAATACTCCTTGGATTTTCATCATCATCATCACCAGCATATGTTATTATTTTTTTAATACTGTTATTGAATCTTTACTACTTTTTTAGCTTAAAGTAACTTGAAAAATCTTTACAAATCACAAAATTTTACAAACAAATTTTAGATTTTTATTTCTTTAAAGAACTTCTTATATGTAAAATTATAATTTTTGAATTTTCATATTTTGTTTATACAGTTTTTTGAAATTTATTAATTAGATATTGATAAAAATTAGAACTTTTTTGTTTATATGTTTAGAAATTATTGGGACAAAATCGAAAGCAATACCTAGACAAGCTTAACGAACGTTTAAAAGATCGACAACGTCGAATAGCATTAGGAGAAAATGTTGAAGATATTGAAGATAATGAAAATGAGTTGCAACAAGGCTCTTCAACAGGAAACGTTTTAAAAGACCTGGATAAAAGATTTGATGATGAAAAAGATGCTCTTTTGCAAAGATTACGAGTAAAGCTTTTTTTTTTTTTAAATTAACAAATGATTGTAAAAATAAATAAAAATTTAAAAAAATTAACATTGATGACCCAATAAATTGGTGATGACCCTAACCCTGATCATTAGAATTTTTAGTAGGTCTTTAATATATTTATTTTTTTGTGCTATGATATAATTAAAATAAGATTTAGGGGAGTTTAACCCTGATCCAGGCTTTTTTTATAAAGTTTATAAAAGTAATATTCATAATCAAATTACTTTCGTAGAGAACAAGAAGAAAGTCCCATAGAATAGACAGACATATACTTTGATAATATGCTATGGTCAATTGTTCTTAAGAACTTTATATTTTATTGTTCAATTTTAAGCCACAGAACTGATTTTTCAGTTTTTGCTATATATGCTAAAAATTAAAATATTTAAGACTTCAGCCTACATTCAATCTATGTAGCAGTTTATGTAGCAGTTTACCTAGTAAAATAACATACTAGAACATAAGTTAAGTAGACCAACTTACATAGAATATGTAGTAGGGAGGTTTAAATAAAACAAATATTTTTATGATGAGGACTGCACAACCTCAATTGCGTTAGATTTAGAAAAATGACACTAGATTTAAAAAATTAGCTTTTAAAAAACTGATTTTAGAGGTCAACCAAGATCATTGAACATTTAACAGGTCCTTAATATTATCAATAAAAAATGTTTTTCTAAAGTATGTCATGTTGGGCCTCAAATGAAACATTGTTATATAAAATTTTCGAAAATATGAATCTTTTTATAAATATTTATTTTTTGCATAGAACAAAGCTTTTCTCAACTAAAATAAAAAAAAAAGTTTTTTAAAGTTTTTTTGATAATTTTTTTTTTCTATGTGTTTTTTATAAAATGGCTGAATGTGTTTTTAGGATCAGCATGATATGAATGAAAAAGAACGTGAACGCCATTCACAACTATTAAGGTTAAAATTAGAAGCACGAAGAGCTGCTAAAGAAAATAATTTAGATGGTGCAGCATTAGTACTTGGTTTGGCTGAACGTAATAAAGCTAATCTATCAGACAGGTATAGTCTTTATTTTCATTTACATCATAAAGATGATGATGATGACTATGACGATGATGATGATGATGACTATGATAATGATGATGATGATGCTGGTGATGATGATGATGATGATGATGATGATGATGATGATGATGATGATGATGATAATTATCATCATGTTTTTACTCAATATGTTGTATACCACATCTATGTTAGCACTACAATGAACTAGTTTCTTTGCATTTTCTATATTTCAGTGTACTTTGTTTTTTGTTGTTTTTTATGATAAAATAAAGTTGATAAAAATTAAACAACCTTTGAAAATCTTTTAATCTTGTTTTAGGTTTTTATAATATTAATAAGAATTTTATAATTATTTTGCATTCTTAAACATAAAAAGAAACAAAAGAATTGATAACTTTTTTTTTTAAGGTTAAAAAATGATCGAAAGCGACAAGAGCAGTTAGCCAAAGAAAGATTGGCTGCAAGGAAAAAAAAGATATCGTTCTCTAAAGATACAGTTGAATCCCAACCAAGCAATGGTAAAGTAATTTTTAAAGATATCATTTTTAGCCAAATTATTAGCGAGAGCCTAATGTCTTGAAACAAGATTTGTCTCCACATAAGGGTAAAAACCTTACCAAGGAATAATGTTACTCAGGGTTAGAGTTTAATCATTTTAAAAACTAAACCATAATATTTACTAATAATATTTTTTGTATCAGATTTAGAGAAATGCTTACAAACCCACCATAGGCTAAGACTAAATTAAATTGAAAGTGGTTAAAGAAAATGAGATGCTGATTGTATATGGATACATAAATGGGCATGTTGGTGTAGTTACTGATGGTTTGGAAAAAATGCATAATGAAAATGAATTTAGCCTAAAAAATATTAAAAGGAAAATGTAGGAATTTTTAGATGCTACAGAATTAACAGTCTGTACTATATTGATTACAAAAAAAGATCAACACTTAGTAACACTTAGATAGTAACTTAGGAATCACATAGTAACTTACGAATCAACTTAAGACACTAGTGGGCTATGTCTTAATGAAATAGCAAAATAGAAAATAGGTGAGTAACAATCAGATTGGAAAGAACTTTGAAAAGAATGGAGTATATGAAGAAGACTTATTTTACTATGTACAAGGTGAAACAAGATGTTCACAAATTCGAATCAGATAAACATAAGTGATTTTGTGAGATGCTAGGTTTTTAGGGTAAAATAAATGTAGTGTTCAAAGCGGTAAAGCCAATGGTTAAGACTTATACGAAGAAGACTTGTATTATTATGCATAAGTGAAAACAGTATGACTGATTTGGTTTTACCAATATGGAGCTAACCCAACTGTTTAGTTCCATAAGTATTTTATATTTTAACATGAAAATTTTCTATATGCTATATGGTCATACACCAGAGAAAAACATGAGAATCAAAAGGTGTATATATATATATATATATATATATATATATATATATATATATATATATATATATATATACAGGGCCTATTCTGGAAAAAAAATTTAAGCGGTGGTACCCTCTCGTTTTAGAGAGCCTATATACTCAGAGAGCGGACATACGTGTGATCGTTTTTGATTGATTGTTCGATTTTTATGATTTTAGATGCCATCTTTTTGCCAAAAATACTAACTGCGAATAAAGTCTACTACTAAATTTGTATTAAATATTTGTAAAAGTATGCCTGATTGTGCTGCAGTAGGCTGCCATAACAGGCCTGAGAAAGGACTCATTATGAAATGCTTCCTAAGAAATGAAAAACAACAGGCAATATGGACTTTTAAAGTTAAACGACTTAACTGGATACCTATAAACACAAGCTTTTTATGTGAAGTAAGCATATAAAATACAGTTAATGTAATTAATCCTAGATATGAGTTATTTTAGAATCCATACAAATACATTGTATTTGTTCAATTTTTTTATTAAGGTACACTTTGATGCTGATCAATGGGAAAAAACCAGAGAAGATGGATCAAGAAAACTCAAACATAATGCAATTCCTACTGTCTTTAAACATGTTAGAGCAAAACATAAGCGAAAAAATTCACTCGAGTATTTTCCAATACCAAAAAAAAAAGAAAATTAGTTGTATAGAAAGTGGAGAAGTTGTGGAAAATGTTTTAATTGAAGTAAATAACAATGAAGTATCTGAATCACTTTGTACAACTTTGATAAAATTTTACTTATACAAGATTGAAATTAGAAAAAAAAGTCATTAATCAAAAAAAAAAAAAAAAATTACATTTTTTTACGCATCTACAAACTCTTACTATGGAGTTGTTACATTACCTGAACATTATGGCCAAGCTAACCATGCTTTAGTTTTTATGCTTGGAGGAATATCTACAAGATGGAAGCAAACTGTTGCATATTGTTATACTGGAAGTTCTGTTAATGGGGGTGTTTTAAAAAATATTGCCCTATCTTTAATAAAGTATACTGAAGAAATAGGATTAAAAGTTAATAGTGTTACTTCTGATATGGGTGCCAATAACCAGGCAATGTGGAAATCTTCTAATATTAGCTGTACTAAAACTGGCAGTATTTCTAGTTCAATTAAACACCCATGTGACCCAACTCGTACAATTGATTTTTTAGCAGACGTATCACATTTATTAAAGAATATAAGAACATCTCTTTTATGTAACAAACATTTGATAATAACAGCTAAGATTCAAAAAAAAAATAAACTTCAATCGCCAATTATAGATTCAAAACACCTTAACAAGCTTGTAGACTTTCAAGAAGGTATGGATTTGAAGTTTGCTTACAAGCTTAACTAAACATCTTGATGAAAAACATTTCAACAAAAAGTCAAGAGCAACATCTGTTATGAATTATGATGTAAGTTGTGGATTAAAATTTATTGCAACTGAAATAAAAGATGATTCTATTCTCACAACTGCTTGGTTTATAGGAATTGTTGATAAATGATTTACATTAATGACTTCACGAAACCCAGGTATGCCTCTTATCATGAAAAATAACGTTTACAATGAAAAAATAAATTTTTTAAATAAAGTCATAGAGATATTCCATGGTTTAAAAATATTAGGCCAAACTGGAAAAATAAGGTGGAAACCTATTCAATCTGGTGTTATATTATCAACAACATCAGTTATTAACTTGCAAAATAAGTTTCTTCTAGAAAAAAAGTTTGATTTTTTAATGACATCACGATTTATGCAGAATTGCCTGGAGAATCTTTTTTCCCTGGCACGTGCAAAACAAGTAATTCCTACTGCTCTTCAATTTAAAAATAACTTAAAACTTATTTTCGTTGCCCAATTCTTAAAAAAATCATCAAAAGGCAGTTATGATATAGATGACCGTCAATTCTTATCTGGTTTTCTTGATATAGTTAATAGTAAGGTGCATAAACCACAGCAAAGAGAGTGCATTGTGTTACCCAAAGATTTGGATAAAATCTCTGACTTAATCTTAAGTAATGCTGAGCAAAATTGTTTGTTTCATATTGCAGGTTATATAATTTCTAGAGTTAAAAAAATTGAAAAAGTTTGCACAATTTGTTTTGAATCTCTAGTTTCTAAAAATAGAGTTAATGCTGATTACTCAAAGTTTGTTACAGACAAAGAGCACAAAGTGAGTAGTTTATTTTTTGCTAATGAAACAACATTTGCATTCTTTTTACAAATAGAGTTAATATTCAGATCATTTGAGCCATACCTTAATTCCCAAAAGAATTGTAATACTATGCTTTTAGAGAAAATTAATTCTGATGAACAAATTAAAAGTCTAACTTTGTATCCTAGTTATCATCAAATTAAATTGAAGCTAAAAAACAGGTTTATAACTTTCAGACTTAAAATATTTAGCCTTAAAAAAAAGCGTTTATTATGTAAAAAAAAAAAAATAAAAAAAAGTTCTTGTGAACTTGGCAGCAAAAGTATGACAATGCAATGCATGCAAAAATAAACTGTAAAGCTTTTTTCAAGTTACTTATTGACTACAACTACTTTTTTGCTGTGTTTTTTTTTAAAGGTATTTCCTAAATAAATAAATAATTTTGTCGAAAAATAATTTTGAAAAAATAAAACATAAAAAGGTTTAATTTTTTTAAATATATTTTTGTTTAAAATATTGTGCTCATTTGTTGTTTTTTTTTTCTTTTAATTGTTTTTACTTGAATTCGTGAATGTCATACGCTAGTTTGGCAAAAAACATGGCCGCTGTTCTTACGTATTTTCCGTATGCCCGCTCTCTGAGTATATAGGCTCTCTACCTCGTTCTAGTAGACTTTGGTGGGAAATTGGTGTTTTTTTTTTCGTGAAAAAAAAAAATTACCATAAAAACATAAAAAAAAGAAAAAAAAAGGTCCCTATATTTTAATTTAGGCGGCGCCCAAATACGGTTGACGCTACTATAAATAAGGTAGAATAGCTACTGATATATATATATATATATATATATATATATATATATATATATATATATATATATATATATATATATATATATATATATACACATATACATATATATATACATATATATATATATATATATATATATATATGTATATATATATATATATATATATATATATATATATATATATATATATATATATATATACACATATACATATATATATACATATATATATATATGTATATATATATATATATATACATATATATATATATATATATATATATATATATATATATATATATATATATATATACATATATATATATATATATATATATATATATATATATATATATATATATATATATATATATATATATATATATATATATATATTAGGGTGGTGCACAAATATATTGACAATTTCAAAAGTTTCAAAAATCAATGTGGTACTTTTTCCTATTGTTCCTTTTATCATTATATTAATTCCTGCAAAATTTAAGCAAATTTGAATGACTTTTAGAGGTCGCTCATGGCCATGTTTCCTCTTTTAATTGCCATTATTTTCCTATTCTAACGTTACTGTGAAGTTTTTAATATGTACATTTGTTTATTTATTTTATTATGACATAACTCTTAATTTGATTTAATTTAATTAATTATGATAATTATTTTAATCGATTTTAAATATTTTTTAAATATATTTTTCTAATTTAATAGTGTGCAACTATCTTTGACAATATACCGCAAAGCATTTTAATTTTTGTTCATATGAGTGCTGATTTGAGGCTTTAAAAAAATAAATTCATTTTGTGATAACAATTGTTTTACTCAGGTTATATTTTGATTTTCAGAAATATCCTGTAATATGAATTCTCAGTTATCTTTCCCTTCGTTTTCGAAAAAAATTGAAACTCGAACAACTACTGACATTTATCTTGTTGGCTCTGTTTCTCCAAATATATTTTTGGGATGAAGCTTCCAACATGTCGTCAAGTTCTTGCAGTATTTTTTCATCTTCACAAAATAGAAAAACAAACCGTTAGACAAAGTGCAAGGTGTGTCATTCGAGAAGTATTTCATTTGTGGAATATGGCAAGAATTCCAACAACTATTGAA